CAATGATCTATTGAGGTCCCTTCTGACCCTAACATCTATGAATCTATGAATTTCTATTGCTGATAAAGCAAGGAAAGGCAGAAGTGAAGTGTGCCTATGTTTTGCAGTCCTAAACTCCATTTGAAGTCTGGAACTCTTGGAACAAGTGTTCCTCTATTCTTACCAACGCTTTTATGATTGTTTAAGAAGCCCTTCATTGTGGTCAAGGAGGGATGGCTAAGGTCCCCATCTGATTCTACCTACATGCCTGCCTTCCCACCCCAGAGGATGCTGGAGGGATTTAACACCCTTCTCCAACATCTCTGAGGAGTTGCTGACTTCTGCTTCTCTTCTTCAGCTCTCCCTCAAAGAGGTCTGGGAGCCAGAAAGATTAAACCCACTCTGCTACTGCTACCGACATCTGGTTATGTGCCTTACCGCTCGCAAATGCTGGGACGTATAGAAACCTTATGTCTTATGGTACTGAAATGCAGCTGTTAACCAAAGCTGCCCGCACACTTCATCTGGGAGGTGCAAAGACTGGGTTCACTGTTTATTTTTTCACTGGGATTTTTTTCTTAGTAAAAATGAGTGTTTTAGTCTATATTTTTATTAGTGTCACAACCCAACCTGGAGAGAGAACGAGGATTTGTTCACTGATGTCTTAATCTGTTTGATGACCGAATAGCATATTTTTATGCTCCATAAGTTCATCCAGACAGTTTTAGAGGGCTCCGCACATCTTTCAGTGTGTCGCTGTAAATATAGATTCACCCTTTGCCTCGAGATGTCTGTTAAGCGACAGCAAAGAAAGAACAAGTGGGAATAAACACCAGACATGATCTGCTCCTGCAAACCCAACACAGCATAGAAAAGTCCCCGACTCTTCCGTTCCCTGCCGATCCATCCTTAGCTACACCTACCCAGGGTACTGCAAGTTTTGCTGAAAAACGCCCTCCCTGTCAGATATCTTTAAAAGTAATTTTCAAAATATGATTGAGATTTTTTTTAAATCCACAGGTCCAACTCTGCAGAATCTAAATTAGATTTAGCTCATCCTAAAATTACTCAGTTAGTGAAAAGGGGGGTGTAGCTTAAATATATTAAACAGAGCTACTGGTGCAGAAAGGGGGTTTAAAAGCTACTTACTGGAGTTACTACAACAGCCAGCTCCCCACTCAGAGAGACTCTAATCCTGGGGAATAAATTTAACATTTGTAATGTGCTCCAAGTATAGTTCCTCTCTTTTTAAAAATCAGCTCTGCCAACAGCTTGTTGTACATCCCCAGGCCAGCCGCTTGCACCATTTCGCAGTTGTAAAATGGAAATAACTTTCCCTGTGAACTACTCTGAGCAGCACAGATGAGAAATGCTGCATGAGAAGCATCCCTGAGCATCCTGAAACCAGCCCTTTGGATAAAGCAGCAGCAGCAGCAGCAGCAGCATTTGTGTTACAGCAGATGTTTAACGCTGCCTCAAAGCTGCCTCGGCTGGCAGGGATGCGGTGGCTCAGCCGTTCTGCCGTGGTTCCCCTAGCACACAACACGAGGAAGGGCCAGAAAAAACAATCCATGACCCTGAGTGCCCTATGAGTGAAGCAATGGTTTTGTGGGCAGAGGCAGGTGCAGCAGCATGTAGCCTTTTCCTTTCCTGTTCTGCCACAAAAAAAAATAGGATGGAAAGGACTCGCTCCGTACTAACCCCAGTGACTGTGGGTCTGCTTGTAAAAGCAGGAACCTGCTGCATTTGTCTCATCTCCCACTGAGTCTTCTGCTTAGGTGGCATTCGCATTGCCCTGCCAAAGTCATGGTCAATACCTAGCTCAGATGCAGGTCCTGCCTCTTGAAACTCTTGTTTCAGGTTGTTCTCAGCTCAGAGAAACCACCGCGTTGGGTTATGGTGGTGTCTCCATT